ATAGAGGCCAGGAGTGTTGCTAAACATCTCCCAATGCATATGACAGCCCCACAGTAAAGAATTACTTAGCCAAAATGTCAATAGTACCAAGAAACTTCACAAAACACTTTTGACACATTCAGAGAAAAATGGTACATTAAAAATCAGTCATAGCACCTTCTCCATACACTGCACAAATCTTTTTTTGCATTTCAGTTGCATTTTTACCTTTCTTGAAGTAATAAAGTATGATACACCGAAAATGTTACATATATTCTTCCATCTTCGGTATTAAAATGGCTTCACCAATTTGATAAATTTTTTAAGTGCTGATATGACAGCTGTCACAATACGATCCAACAAAATTGTTTAGAATAAAGTTAAAGACAACTAAGCACTACTAAAGTCATCATAGAGAAAAAGCTACATGGACTTTTTGGCCAATCCAATTCAATACTATGGTACTGATAAGGATTGATCAGTAGAACAGAAAAGGGAGTCCACAGCCCTGGCTGGCCATCATCCAATATTCCAAGGTTGCAGTTCGATCCCCAGTCACAGCACATACAAGAAACAACTAATGAATGCATAATAAACAAAATAACAAAATGAATGTTTCTCTCTCCTCCCCACCAAAACAAATTTTTTTTAAAATAAAAGAGAGTCCAGAAATCAACTGCTATTTATACAGTCACCTGAATGTTAAGGGTACCAATGCAATACAATGGCTTTTTTTAACCTCACCCAAGGACATGTTTATTGATTTTAGAGGAAGAAGAAAGGAGGGGGAGAGAGAGAAAGGGAGAGAAACACCAAGGTGAGAGAGAAACATCGATTGGTTGCCTACCACATGCATCCAACCAGGGACCAAACCCACAACCTAGGTATGTGCCCTGACCGGAACTGAACCCATGACCTTTTGGGATGACACTCCTACCAACTGAGCTGCCTGGCTAGGGCACAATGGAATTTTCAATAAATAATGCTGGAACAACAATCTGTGTGGAGAAAAATTTTAATTAAAAAAAAAAGCTTAAATAAATAAATTAAATTAAAAGATTAAATAAATTAAATTGATCAATAAAAAGATTAAATAAATAAAATTAAATTTAAAGATTAAATAAATAACTAAAAAGATTAAATAAATTAATTAAATAAAATCTTTAAGAGATTTTATTTATTTATCTTTAGAGGGGAAGGGAAGGAGAGAAGGAGAGAAACATCAATGTATGGTTGCTTCTCGTGTGTCCCCTGCTGGGAACTGGCCTGCAACCCAGGCATGTGCCCTGACTGGGGATCGAACTGCGATCCTCTGGTTCACAGGTCCACACTCAATCCACTGAGCTACACCAGCCAGGGCAAAATTTAATATTTTTCACAAAATATTTTCACACTATTTACAAAAACTGAAGATGGATCAGAGGCCTATAGATAAAAGCTAAACCTAGAAAATACTGAGAAGAAAATAAAGAAGTATGTGTTCATAACCTGTTAGTGGCCAAGACTTCTTAAATAGTACTCAGAAAGCAGTAACTTCATAGTTAAAAATACAAATATGACTTCATCAAAACATAAAACTTTTCTTACTAAAAAATGCTATGAAAGTAATTAGGCAACCACAACAGACAATATCCAGGATATACAAAGAACTCCTACAACTCAATAATAAAATTGGGCAAAAGATCTAAATAGGCATTTCACAAAGGAATATACACAAATGTCAGCAAGTGCAGGAAAAAGTGCTCGATGTCATTCTAATCAACGACTAAAACTAAAACCATAGTGATATACTGCTCTCTAGCCACCAGAATAGCTAAAAACAAAGCCTGACAACGCCCAAAGTTGGCAAGGATGTGAAGAAATTAGAACTCGCACAAATGGTTGGCGGGCAACAGGATGATAAAACTACTGAGCTGCAAACATATACTACCCTTCATGAAAAGGGGGAATAACTCGAAGATGGAGCCAGAGACCAGCGGGTGAATGCAGGTCACAGACAACTGGTCGCGGGCCTAGAAACCAATGATACCTTAGATATCAACCCTTTGTCAGGTAGGTTTCAGCGCTTGCCCATTCATTTTCTTAGAGTTGTCTTTGATAAAAGTTGTAAATTTTGAAGTAATCCCATTTATCTTTTTATTTTAAGTGGTTATTGTTCTCTGAGTCTTGGCTAAGAAATCTTTTGCATACTCCCAAGTCAAAAGGATATTCTTCTATATATTCTAGAAGCCTTACAGCTTCATGATTTTGGAAATAAATCATGATCTGATCACTTCTTAAGAAATTAAATATGCATCTGCCATGTAACCCAAGAATTCTTCTGATAGGTATTTTCCCCAAGAAATAAAAACATATGACCAAAAAGACATGTAGGAGAAAAAAAATGAAGACTTGGAGGGGTAAGGGAAAAGAACTTGAATTAGGGTAGTGGCTATGAGCATGGAATAGATGAATTCAAGAAATATTAAAAAGATAAACAAGACTGGGAAATATTTTTATTCTTATCCACTTCCTTATACCTAAAAGCATTTCTAATTACATATGTAAGGAGGAAGAGGGCATGAGGCATATAAGTAAGTTTTCCTATTTTATCTGACTTCTTTTCTCTTCATCAAATACAGGAGAGGGCATAACCATAAAGGGTAATAGAAGCCACCTTCAAAAGCTTGGAACTTCAGTTTGTAAACCATGGAAAACAATGGAAATTTTAAGCTGAGAATAATATTATATTTATGCCTCAGAAAGCTCCCTGTCAACAGTGAATAATTGAGGGAGAGATCAGTTAGGAGTCTATGTTACAACAGTCCAGACAAAGACAAAGGCTCAAAGATCATGGAAATAGAGAGAAAGGATAACCTCTGAATATGTATTACAGGAGGCAGAACCGACAAGATTCAGTGATGGATGAGGATCAACAGCAGGCTTGGATATCGAGGGGTTTTCCCTTTTATTTTCATTTATACACATGCTGCTATATTTTTTTGTGATACAAAAAATGTTTTTACTCTAACAAGAGTAGAAAAAAATGTTTTTTAAGTAAAAAGAAGGAACTATATGTCAAAATGTCACCTCCTAACTACACTCTAAATAGAATCCATCCTGTGTTCCCAGAGCATTTTAGACATAGGTAAAATCTCTATCACACATAATCCTAATTCAATCATTTGAGAACAGAGAGGACATATACTAACTACTGAATCTCTAGCACTTAACATAGTCCCTAGCTGACACATAGTATGAAGAACATTTTAGCTTTATTTTAGTTTTTCTCCACTTCAAATCTGCCAGTATGGTATTAAAAATGAATACCTGAAGTGGAAAAAATGTTAAAAGGCACAGAGATTTAAAAATATTCACACTAGGCTTTCTGCCTTGAATATTTAAATTGGTTACACAGTCAATTTTCATTATTCACAGTAGTTATGTTCCATGAATGCTGAATTATCAAATATTGAACCATTCCTCCTAGGAGAAATACGGGGTTAGTTTCCTACAAGTCTCTAGACACAACATTTCACCAACCAGTCAATACATAACCTGGTTTTATGTGTGTTTCTGTTTACTGGCACATTATTTAATATATATTATTGATTCACTAACATGGAATTCTCTGCTGAACAAAGCTTATCTAAAAGAAACTTGTCTTTGCAAGGCATATCACAGCCTTCTTGCACATAAGCAAAAGATAGCATTTCAGCAATATGACTGGAGTCCTTTCTATACAGTGAAATCACTAACAAAAAGCACGAAGTAGGAAAGAAAAAAAACCCTGCCATTAAATATACCTTCAACAAGGACTCTCATTTCCAGTATGAGAGTTGAAACAAGAAGGCAGAGCATCTCCTGGTTTAACCTCAACTGCAAACAGGCACATTGGGTAACTCAAATTACTCAGCACTGTGCACATACACAAAAGTGCCCTGAGTACCAATTTGGAGTTTCAAAGAAATCTTAGCAAATAAATTCATAAAGATCAACTGTGGGCTTTTTTTTTTAATACTCACTAGAGGACCTGCCTATTGATTTTAGAGAAAGGGGAAGGGACAGAGAGAAACATTGATGGGCCACCTGTCGCAAACCCGCGGACTGGGGACCAGACCCCACCCCAGGCATCTGCCTAGACTGGGAATTGAATCTGAAACCTTCTGGTTTACTGGAGGACACTCAAACCAATTGAGCCACAGCAGTCCAGGTCCCAGTGTGTGTGTGTGTGTGGGGGGGGGGGTGTTCAAGATAAAAACACTCTCCACAGCTATCTCAGTTGTATTTTCATACACACTCACCTCCAACCACACCTAGTTCACACACGACATGCCATGCATATATTACACAGCAGCATCTCTGATGAGAACTTCTTGCAGTTACCACTACAACTAATGGTCTAATCAGCTGAACTGAGATAAGTTTAAAAAGACAAACTTTTCCTGGCTGGTGTAGCTCAGTGAATTGAACAGGGGCCTGCGAACTAAGGGATCAATCGCGGTTCGATTCCTAGTCAGGGCACATGCCTGGGTTGCAGGCCAGTTCCCAGCAGGGGATGCATGAGAGGCAGCCATATATTGGTATTTCTCTCCCTCCCTCCTTCCCTTCCCCTCTAAAGATAAAAAAAAAAAAAAAAAAAAAAGACAAACTTTCCTAATCTGAGGTCACTGAATCACTTGACCCAATCCCAGAATTAAGTTTAGTTTTAAAATGTTTGTACCTCAGACTAGGAGTTCTGTGAAAGAATATACCTTAAAAGGGCTAGGAAAGCAAAAAATGAAGAAAAAACCCAAAATGCCCATAAACTGATGGAGAAACAAAATGTGGTATATCCCTACAACTGATTATTGTATTACTCAGTCATAAAAAAAGTGAATTACTGACACATGCTACAACCCTCGAAAACATTAAGCTCCGTGACATAAACCAGACACAAAGGTCAAATACCATATGAGTCCACTTATGTTAAATATCTAGAACTGACAAATTCATAGAGAAAAAGATTAGTGGGGCTGGGGGCAAGGGGAAATTAGAAGTACCTGCTAATGAGTTCCCGGTTTCTCTTCAGGATGACAAGGATGGTCTGGAATTATATAATGGTGGTTGTACAACCATGTGAATATACTAAAAGCCACTGAATCGCACACTTTAAAAGGATACATTTAATTGCATATGAATCGTATCTCAAGTTTTAAAAAACTGATCTAAAAGGATGAGTACGCGGCCAAACTGTCAAATTCCTTTTCAGTGGGTAATTCCAAAGCACTGCCCCTCCTGCCAGCTCCGTTCAGCTGACACAAACTTCAGCACCCTTCACTCCTGTCAACGAGCAGCCTTCAGCGGCGTCGCGCCCGCACAGGGACCGACATAGTGGGCTGGCCTTGTCCTGTGGTGGGCGCCTGGGGTTTGTACTACAGCTGTTGGTGCAAGTTTCCTGCACCTTTGCCTCTCCTAAACAAACTATCAGGAAGCCGAGACCCTGAACCCCTCCTCTACTTGACCTCAGGCCTCTGGACTCAGGTCACTATGCTGGGATCCGCAGGACGAGCTCTACTCTCACTCCGGTACCCCACTCCTAACCCCAGACGCCCCAGATCCACAGTCCCCAACCGGAACCACCCCAGTGGGCCGTCCTCCCTCCTCACTTACGTGCACGCGGGGAGCTCGACCTGGGTAGACGCGAGAGAAAGGGAGTTTACTTACAGCCGCGCAGAGGCGACTGGGAAAGAAGTGCAAGGGCACTCTGGGAAGAAGTTCCAACGGGAAAGCGAGTCCGAGCAGGGGCAGAAAGAGCAGGGGAAAGTTATAAATCACATCCGAGGTGAACAGCCACAAAGCAATCTGTCAAAAGCCGGTAAAGCAAGCTGGGAGCTGGTGCTGACCACTAGGTTTGAGTCATCGCTCCCTCGGCGGGCAGCCCCCTACCGCCCCCCCTCGTTCTGCGGCACCCAGATCTCCGCTGACCTTGGGGTGGGGCGCTTTCAGTGAGCATGCGCTAAAGCCTCTTAGAGCCCACTCAGCGTGGACCCTACCTCTGGCCACTCAACTTACTTCTTTCCTTTAACATCTCTAGAGAGCCAAAGAAGCCACACCAAGGCTCTCTCGTGCTTCTATTCTAGGCCCTTCCTCACTTTACTCTTCCCAGCTTCAAAATCACCTGGACTCATGTTGTAAAAATCTTTCCTGCATGAAGTCAAGAACCCACATACTACCAGCCAACCCTAAGAAAGCCTGCTCCAGGCTGGTCCGCTTTCTGATAACACATTGATATAATTTTCTCTGATATTTAGTGTAGTAGACAATATTCTCACTACTAGCAGTATGAATATAAACTGATACTACTAGTAGGAATATAAACTGATATAACTTTTCAGGAATGCAATCTGGCAATATATACTAAAAATATAGAGAATTCCAGTCAGAATGACAACATAAGTAAATATACTCATATCCTCCCACAACCACATCAAAATTAAACTAAATTACAGAACAACCATTATTCAGAAATGCCTGAAACCTAGTTGAATGTAAGTCCTACAAAAAAGGGATTTAAAGAAGAAGCCACATCAAGACAGGTAGGAGGAGTAGAGACACAGAATGGGCTGGTCATATACCCACGTGTGGCAGATATAAATTGGGGAGGATATCTCCACTGTGGAGATCCCCCCTGAGGACTCAGAGGTCCCAGCCCAGGGTTCCAATCAGACAGAAAGTCCCCCTAATTTGCAACTGTAAAAAACAGCAGAAATTATGACTGAGCTGGAGGACCTCTTGAGTCCCAAGATTCCTCTTTTTTTTTAAATATTTTATTTATTTATTTTTTCGAGAGAGGGGAAGGGAAGGAGAAAGAGTGGGAGAGAAATATCAATGTATGGTTGCCTCTCATGCACTCCCTGCTGGGAACTGGCCTGCAACCCAGGGATGTGCCCTGACTGGGAATCGAACCGCGATACTCTGGTTCGCAGGCCCGCACTCAATCCACTGAGCTATGCCAGCCACGGCCCAAGATTCCTCTTTTTTAAAAAAAATTTTATTGATTATGCCATTACAGTTGTTCTATTCCCCCCCTTCATTCCCCTCCACCCTGCACCCCCCACCCCCACCGTTCCCCCCCTTTAGTTTATGAGCATGTGTCATAAGTTCTTTAGAATCTATATTTCTCATACTATTCTTGCTCCCCCCCCCTCCAAGATTCCTCTTAAAGGGCTCAAAAACAGACTTATTCTGACTCTCCTCCTCTGAGATCCAGCAATGGGATAGTAACTCAAAATGCACCAGGGCTAGAGCTGGAGATGCAGCTTTCTGCCTGACAGAAGTACTGGTAGAGGCCATATTTCTTTTCTGAGCCCTCCCCCAACAAAGATGGCAGGCTAGTGCCCTATCTGAGTCTCCAACAACCTGACTAATACCATTTGCCCAATATTGGTGATTTCCAGAGACCCCGCCCCACCAACTTGCAGGCCCACCCAAGCTGCTTCTAGTGGCTTTTCCATACAAATGGCCTATCTTGGTTCATACTTCAGACTTTCCTAAAATCTCTCAAACAAACAGCATCTGGCCTTGGCATGCCCATACCTCTCACTAAGTGGCCCCAGCATCCTGCCTTGGTTTGCAACTTGGCCTCAACTGGGTAACTCCAAGACAGGTAGCAGCCATTTGCAGATGTCTTTGTAGTGTATACCAGGTGGCCTCAGGCAGAACACAGGTGGTGGATGATGTTGGTCTACACCTCCTGGGAGGCTCCAGAGCCAGAATACCTGGAAGATACTTCAGATCACATCAAAACACCACCCAACCCCCACGATAAGCAACCTGCTCAAGCTGTGTACTCAGCAGGAGTCAAAGTGCTGCTAAAGTTAGTCCTACTCTGTGGGGTAGGACTCTACACAGCTGATCCTCCACACTGGTCAGTGGTTGCAGCCAGTGCTTACAGCAAATTGGACTGGGGGTAAATCCCTCCCATTGATACGCCAATAGCAATCAGGGCACAACTACAGGAGGATGTACACAGCCCACACCAGGTAATGGGGGACAAGTACCTAGAATGCCCAGCTTGGGTGAACAGAGAGGCTGTGCCACTGGACCTTACAGGATACCTACATTATGTCACTCTACCAAGCCCAGGAGACATAGCAGATCTATCTATTACACAGAATCAAACAGGAAGGCTTCCAAATGAGGAGACAAAGGAACATGTCACAAATGAACAGAACAAAACTCCAAAAAAGAAATAAACAAAATGGAGAGAAGTAATCTACTAGATGCAGAGTTGAAAACAGTGACTATAAGGATGCTTAATGAACTTTGTGAGAACTTAAACACAATAAAAAATAATCAGTCAAAAATAAAGAAGATGAGAATCAATTCAGCAATTTGGAATGTAAGGATGCAAAAAAGCAACCAGTCAAGAGAGCAATTGAAAAAATTTAAAAAATGAGGATAGTATAAAAAGCCTCTGGGACAGCTTCAAGCATTGCAACATTTGCATCAAATGGGGTGACAAAAAGAGAAGAGAGATAGTGAGAAGCTGAAAACCTATTTGAGAAAATAATAATAGAAAAATTCCCTAACTTGATAAAGGAAATAGACATACTAGTCCAGGAAACACAGAAAGTCTAAAACAAGATGAACCCAAAGAGGACCACACCAAGACACATCATAATTAAAGGGCAAAAGGTTGACCTGGCTGGGTAACTCAATTGGTTAGAGCGTCATCACAATGCATCAAGGTTGTGGGTTTGATGACTGATCAGGGCACATACAGAAATCAACCAATGGATGTGTAGGTGGGTAGGACAACAAATTGATATTTCTCCATACAAACACACTCTCTTTCTCTTTCTCTAAAATCAATCAATAAAAATATTTTTAAAATAAAAATTAGAAAAATTTAGGAAAATGAAGAAATTTAAAGACAAAGAGAAAATTTTAAAAATAGCAAAAGAAAAGCAGGTAGAAGCTTTTCTAACCATGAAGCTCTCATAGCATCATCAGCTAATGTCTCAACAGAAAATTTGCAAGTCAGAAGAATTTGCAAGAAATATTCAAAGAGATGAAAAGCAAAGACCTACAACCAAGATTACTCTACCCTACAGAATTACCATTTAGAATTGAAGGACATATAAGGACTTGCCAGAAAAGTCCTGGCAAGGAAAAAGCTAAAAGAGTTCAGTAGCCGCCAAACAGTATTATGTGGTTTTTTATACATATTTCTAGTATGACATGGAAAAGTGCTTAAGACCATGTTCCATGAAAAAAGCATGGTCTAAAACTATGTAAATAAAACCACTTCCCTACATCCATTACAGTGGCTACAATTTAATAAACAGAAAATACCAAGTCTTGGTGAGGAGGTAGAAAAATTGGAACCCTTATACATTGCTGGTAGGAATGTAAAATGGTGCAAACAGTATGGTGGTCTTTAAAAAAAAACAATTATCCTATGACCCTACTAATTAAATACACACACACACACACACACACACACACACACACATATATAGTCTGTCCTGAAAAGGTCCAGCCATTGTCAATATAATGAGAATAACAGTTTGTGTGACATAGATGTAACCTGGCAGCCAAGAAGAGTGGACTGGACTGTGCATGCATGAAGAATGATGACTTCACTGAACTAGTCAGCAGGGGCTGTAGATGTCATCAAGAGAGCTTGTATACTGTGTGGCCATTGCATTCAAAATGACTGAGTGAATAGAGCAACAAATCTACATCAAATTTTGTGTTGAGCTTTAACATTCTTCCACAGAAACTATTTGTATGTTTCAGAAGGCTGCAACTATGGGCAGCTGGTGATTGGCAACTTCATCATGATGATGCACCTGCTCATGCATCTCCTCTCAGGCACAGTTTGTTGACAAAACATCAAATCACCCATGTGACTCAGCCCCCACAGGCCAGATTTGGTGCCTTGTGTCTTTTGTCTTTTTCCAACACAAAAACCACCTTTGAAAGGGAAAAAAATTCAGACTGTTGATGAGATTCAGGAAAATATGATGGGGCAGCTGATGGCGATAACAACAAAGAATTTTGCAGAGTGTTTTAAACCAGTGGAACATTAGGAGAAACGTGTGAGGTATCAAGATGCCTACTTTGAAGGAGACTGAGGCATCATTGCCCCGTGTACAATGTTTCTTGTATCTTCTTCAGTAAATGTTTCCATTTTTTGTATTACATGGCTGGATACCTTCTGGACAGACCTCATAAAATATATATGTAAAAGAATTGGGGCCAAGATGAAGGTGTAGGTGGAAATACTGTGCCTCCTCACACAACCAAGTTTAAAGACAACAAAGTTTTAGTAACAAAAACCCAGCCAAAACACAGAAAAATGAATTGTACGGAAGTCCAACAACAACAAACCATTCAGCCAGACCAGTAAGAGGGGCAGAGTCAGCCGCTGGCAGAGCGGGGTAGCACAGGAAAAAGTGGCCAGACCAACCCAAGCGCACAGGTGGTAGTTGGTAGATCCCAGGTGTGGGGTGGCAACAGGCAGACCCAGTGGGGGCGCAAGGCAGCTGGCTGATTGAGGCCACACATTCACATTCAGATAAACCAGGCGAAGGAGTGAGCAGTAAGACAGACTGCGCAGGCTAGAACCCCAGCAATGAGAATTAAAGCCTAAAAGCACCAATTGGAGAAACTTTTGGGGTCGAGGTGCTGGGAGAAGCTCCCAGGCTCACAGAGAGTTTGTTGGAGGGACCCACAGAGTCCTGGAGGGTGCACAGGCCCACACACCTGGGAGCTGGCACCAGGGAGGCCCAGTTTGTTTGTGGGAAGCAGCAGAGGAGACCGAAATTCGAGAGAGAGCAGAACAAACACCATTGCTCCTCTCCAACCCTGCCCCCACATACAGTATCACAACCCAGCAACTGGGTTGTCACACCCTCATGAACACCTAAGGCTCCATCCCTCATAT